AGAAAGTCAAATAGATTAAAGCTAACATAATAGAAAGAACAAAATACTTAATTTTCTAAAAGAATATATAATATCACTTATATTACTCTAACAAGAGTATAAGATTTGTACCTTAAGAGTATATTACCATAAATTCGTATATTCCTTACGTTCATTACCAATGCCCTCAAAGCTTTCCAGCCTAAATACCCTGCTTATAGATGCTAGATAAGCTTTAAGTCGCTTCTTAGCTATAGATAAGCTAATAAAAGCCTTTATACTATTTCCTTCAATTTAATTTTTATAGTTAAGAATAATCTTATAAAGCTTATTAAAATAAAATATACTTTAAAATAAAGAAAAATAAGCTTATATTCAAAAAATATAAAGTTAAAATAACATTCTAATTATATAATTTTCCTACTATTTTCAAACATTCTAATCTATAGTAAGCTATCGATTCCAACTATCTAGACTTTCTTTTCTAAAAGATAAGCTTTAAAGACTATATTTATATAAAATCCTTCCACCAATATAACCTCCTTAAAAGTAAAATCTTCCATCCTCTCTTTCTATACTCTATTAAAAACCTTTATAATCACCCTAGTCTTATATACTATAATCATACATTATCTTATTCCAACGTCAAATAAGATAAGGTCGATAGATATAATCGAATTAGATAGTAGTAGGTCCTTAGCGTTCACTATATACACTACTCTACAATTGTCAAGCAATATAAAGTCTGCCAGTAAGTACCTTCGGTTTAAAAGCACTAAATACACTCTTAGAAAGCTCCCAATTCGTTTAAGGAATAATAAATCAATGATTATAGCTACTACTAGCTTTAGCCAAGCTAGAAAGCCCTACTCGTCACCTTTATTTATCTACACCTTTTTATACTATTCCTGGCTCTTTAGACTATTTAAAACATCCTTAAATCAAGAATATTAAAGCCTTATATAAATTATCGTAAACTTATCCTTGCTTTTACTTTCAGTCCTTATCCTCTTTAAAGGAAAGGTTCCAATAATCGCCTAGCATAAGACAATATACTTAGAAAGCCTCCAATAGTATATTTTTCCTTTTTCGCTAAAGTAGGAGTAGTCATAAGCTTCTTTATTTAATAAGTGCTTTAGAGCCTGTTTACTAGTCTCCTTACTTACATTCTCTTACGCCACTAGGTAATTTCCTACCTCTAACAAACTTATCTATATGTTGAAGACCGTTCGGAAAGCTTTACTATACTATTATAAGAAGCAAGTTAGTTAGCCTATCATTTTATCGATTATAAAGTCATCTAACTTTACTTTAGCTTATTCTAGGTGAATTCGAAGACTAATCGCTTTTAGAAAGACTCTTACAATAATTGCCCTCTAAACTTCCAGAATCTAGTAAGCTTTGCCAATAAGGTAGGCCTACTCTCAATCTTAAAGCCAACACTCTAGAGATTATCTTTTAAGCTTTACTTATATAAGCGTTTTATTATATATTTCCTTCATTATTGTTAGGATACTCAAATACAAAAGGGTAAACCTTTGTTTTAAATCTTATATAATCGCCTATAATATAGGCTCAATCCTCTATATACTTAGCTTTATACTCATAAGAGAATAAAGCTTTACTACCACCATTTTCCTAATCCAATTATAGACAGCTTAGTATTTCTCTCTCTTATTTAATCATTTTACCTTACCTATTATATAAATCTTTAAGTAGATACTATAATCATCTTTTATTTACTTATTTATCATTATAGCAGGCTTAATAAGCATAGATCCTCTTTCCTCTTAAGATACCATACTCTCTACCCATTCTACAAACTCTATAGAATACTTCTTAAGTATAGATATATTCAAACTAATAGTATATTCCTCTAAAGTCATCAAAAGACAAGCTTCCACTATAAAAAAGATAGCATCCTTTGCTTCTAGGTCGATTAGATACTAATTGCCTTATAGGTTCGCTTTCGTTTGAAGCTCTTGATACTAATTGATCCAAGAGCTTTAGTTAGTAAGCTTCATTATAGTAAGCAAGTCTCAATAACATTCTATATATTCTTATTTCTAAAGGATAATGTCGTACACACAGTTTATAGTATAGTATAGCAGAATTGTATATATACTAACCAGGCTCATAATTGTGATAGACCATAGAGCACATACGAGCATATAATTAGGTAATAGAAAGTTCATTAAACTATAT